TGCGTACATATACACACCACACACACACACACACGTGTGTGTGTGTGTGTGTGTGTGTGTATATATATATATATATATATATAATGAGACCTTCCAAAAATAATAAATTTCTCAAATGCGTGATAAAATGAATCTAATTTCTAACTGCCAATTATAAATTGTATTCAAAGTATTGTACATGTATCAAAACTTAAATATTCAATTAAAATAGAAATGGCAGATTAAAGTTTCCAAGTGTCGAATTGAAAATTTACTGAAACTGATTGAAGAAATGCGTAATTCTGGATCGCAATTAAATACAGCACGAACCACACACGCTGTTTTTTACAATGATCCTTTTACACATCCAGTAAGGAGGAGATAGCGGAATGCATTAAAAAGCATCATCACCATTTACGGTTGTCATCTCACCAGGATAACTTGAAACTACTACTTGTGGTGAACTTCACCTTTTGCGATGAGCTGCGGCTCTTTCTGAAGATATCCTTTTTCAAGACTAATGGATCGTGATAAGGATTCAGGTCTCGATAATGCAACGTTTAATATCTCTTTCCTCTCGCTTTCTCTCTTTTTTTCTCTAACTTAAAAAAAAACGAAGGCTTGTAGCGTGACATGACGCATTCCGATTAAGTTGTCAAAGGAAGCGATTAAGATAGAGTGAAGATCCGACAATTATAAATGAATTACAAAATATTTTATATTCCCCATACTTTAATTTTAATTCTATCATATTTTATTTAATTTTTAATATCAGTTATTTTTTTCACATAATTCTTTTGGTTGAAGAATTTTTAATTAAACCAAATTTAAGTTAAATTCTACAACTGAATAAATGACGTAAATAAATGTTACTGTATAGCTAAATTTTTCTTTTACTTACTATAGCTAATTTTTTAATGCGAAATTTCTGTTATTTTCAATTTTTTATGAAATATCATTATACTTATAGATATATCATGTGTCAATATGAATTCTTGAATTTAATGTCTCTAACTTCTAAATCATTTCTTTATTTTCTTTTATTTTCTTATTAACGCTTTCTAATTATTATCTTATATTATCTTATTTTCTTGTAATGAACTTTATGATTAAATTAATAGGGTGATACCTGCATTTCCGTGACTAGGTGAGTCATCGACTCTCTCTCGTACTACCCTATAGTACCTTCATGCCTTGGCACAGCTCGTTTTCTGGGCAAAAGTCGGGATCAGAAACAATGGAAACGAGAGAGGTCGGTGGGCACGCGTGTGTAAGGTAGCCATGATCGCGGCGGTCACGTTTCACTCTTGCGTTATATGTATCGTGTGGTGTACTGTGTGAAAAGCCAGCAAGGGCTTTTGTATGCACCTAGTCGAGGACATACTATACTCTTCCACCTTTCCTCTCCTGTTCCTCTTTATTCCTAGTAGAGGACGTTATCTATACCTCCATTCGATTTCTGATCAAAAACAGCAAAACTGATTCTTGTTAGATATCGAAAATTATTCTCGATATTTATTTGCATCTTCATTGATAGAGAAATAATATAAGAGAACTTTCTGATTATATTGAAAAAATTAAAACACATATTATATTTTATATTACGATCGAAAAATATTTAATAATTTGGAAATCAACTTTGAAATTTTGACTTTTGCGAAAAAAAAATAATTTAATTATTAAGAATAAAAAATGTATATGTAATTTTACAAAAAAAAAACAGTAAACATGTTATGAATCTAAAAGACGATCAATAACGAAGCTTCGCATCCGTGTTGTACAGGTTGAAAACGTGAGTTTGTGCGTGGGAGCACTGCGGGCTCTGGGGGCGGATGTAGGTGCTGTGAACCCGGGTGAATTGGCAGCAGGATCAACCCTGTGGCCGGTACTGGCTTTGCTCTTTGCCCTGTCACGCTACAAACAGCGAGCCAAGCAGCTACAGGATATGCCCAGGTAAATCACTCCTTTCGGCAGAAAAATCAATTATCATAATGATCGTCTAATGAATCAACATAATGAAGGAATTATGTTGAAAAGAATATGTATAACTTTGAGAACCTTTAAAAATAGATCTCAGAATCTTTGAAACTGCGAAAAGAATTTTGAAATTTTTATTTCTCAAATTTATGGAATCTTAATTGATTTTTAAGAAATTTTGGATTTTCAAATATTTGGCTTATTTTAAAACTACAAATATTTATATTATTATAAATAAGCGAACTTTCAAGATCTAAACACTTTGTTTTAGTACTTTTTAAATTGTCGAGTTTGGTTGATTTTTGAAATTTACACTGACATTTGAATTTACATTTTTTTCTATTTAGATTATAGAATTTTTTTTTAATTATAAAATTTTTGAAGAGTTTTTAAAACTTCTAACGTTTAAGATCTTTTGAATTTATATGTTTAAAATTTTTTTCTTAATAATCTTTATCTTATTTACTCTTACGCTTCACTTTTTTATTTTTGAAATTTCTAATCCTCTTTACCATACCATTAATGGGTAATCATACCGACTACGAATACTATACGCAATTCGACCTTCTGAAACCGACCATCAGTTTACTGTATAGCCTAACGTCGGTAAAATGGCGATGTCCCTGACGTACGAATCCCTGAGGATTTTCTGTAGATATATACAAGATCTGTTATAGTAATCGATGGTACTTATTTATCATGGTTTGATAATTTGGAATCATAGCTTTATCAATAATTATGACATCACTATTCAAGATAATAATCAACTTTATATTTGTTAACTAAATATTATTTATGCAGCAATGACTGATATTTTATAAAGTTGAATTAATTTTAACATCGATTTGTGGAATCTACCCGATTCCATACATCACTCATCAGGTGTCTAGTAATTTTGCACTGCTTTAGCAATGAGAATATTTTATTTTTAAATTTAATTAGCGATGCGCAACATGTGATGTGTGCAACCAGAGCTTTTCCGATTTAATTACTGATGTTTTCATATTGATCAACTTATTTATGAATCGACAAAGATATTACATAAATGAGCAGTGACGTTTTAGATTTAATAACATAGAACTTTGGAAGAAAATTTTTAAGTGCAATTCGACTTAAATTTAACTTACGATCTCAAAACTCGTTTCTTGATGGTTTTCGGCCGCGATCGAGTTATTACAATTCAATAAAACCGTTAAATCAGATTATAGTGCACTTTTAAATGATGAGAAATACATTTCAAAAAAAGTTAACGAAAATTTAAGAGGCTTTTATTAACACACAGAAAGTTTTTACATTATTTCAATATTTTGACATAACATATATTTAATTGTTTCGAAAATTATTTTTATATAATATGTTAAAGAAAACCACTTTCTAATTTCAATAGCTTTGATATTATTATAAATAACATTAAAATTTACGTATCTTATTATTTCATTATTGTTTCATTATTGTTACATATTTGAATTTCTTATTTTTTTTTTATAATCTTTCTTTTTTCTTAACCAAGTTCTTTATATTTATTTTCATCGAAAATTAATTCTTTTAATTATTTTATTTAAAAAATTTATTTTCTTTTTTCTTTTTTTTTCGCATGATTTGATGTAGTTCGCATGATTTTGTTTGGTGTGGCATTTATATTTTATAGTGACCCGGGATCTATGAGAAAGCTTTGTTTCCTGTCGCGCAGTCAAATCGATACCAACATCCTGTGGAACGGCGGCTGGGCAGCGACGTTCATTAACGTCTGCGTTAATCACCCAGCATATTTCCCTCTTTCTCTTTCTCGTCTATTTCCTCGCGTTGTCGATGTAAAGAGCATACAGTTATACCAATGTTTCGGCACGCAGAAAACGCGTTTTACGACCGAGAACGCGCAACTTTAAATATTTTAATTACGCTGCAGTTAATTGCAACAATCCAAAAGAGAGAAAGATGGAAGCGAGACAGAGCGAGAGAGAGAGAGAGAGAGAGAGAGAGAGAGAGAGAGAGAGAGAATGATATTTATTATATTTCTTACAAATTTTGAATAACGGATAATTTAAATTTTTTAATAGAATATAAAATATTAAATTATAAAATATCAGAATCGAATAAACAAAAAGTTACATAACATCAATGTAAAATTACAAAATATAATGGAAAATGAATATATTATATTATTTCTTTCTCTCTCTCTCTCTCTCTCTCTCTCTCTCTCTCTTTCTTTTCTCGCAGCAATAAATTAAAGAAAAGATATGCAGAGATAAGTACGAAGAAAAAGAAGACATAGCTCTTTTAAAAGCTATTTTAGGGGTGACTGACTTTACATTCTTATTAATCGTTCGTGAACGCAACTTCACGCACGACGATGCCGTGCGCTACAAGTCAAGGTCGATATTTTTAAATTGAGTATTTTTTTGGACAATAAATTGCTTTGATGAGTAATGTTCCTAAATTGTATCTTAAATAATTCGAGTAACATTTCGCAGCATCTATCTAATAAAGTCTCCCAAATTTAAGATTGAGTATAAATTAAATTAAAAATTTTCTGTTTTTGATTTTCTTTTTGTTTAAAATAGATTTAACACTTAATTATATAAAATTATTATTTTATTATATTATTATTGAAAAATTAATAATAATATCGAATCAAAACACTCCTTTTTAGATAAATTTAGACATTTTTATTTACAACTTTTCCTCTTATCTTATTTTGAATAAATAAAAAGTTTAAATAATTAGCTCTAATTTTAATAAAAAATTACTTAAAATTTTTAAAAGCAATAGATAATTGCTAATTAGAAATAGAAATTTTTTGATAAATTAATCAATTAAAGTATATTATAAATTAACAATTAATTTTTTTAAACAGTTTGAGGATAATTTTGTTCTATTCAATAAAATTATTGTAAATTTTTCATATGATTGGATACCTAACTTGTGTTTCATATTTCGGAAAAATTGTATATAATTTATAAAAAGAAATATTTAAATTAGATCCTAGATTTTTTGAACCATATGAAACTCGAATTAATGTTTGCGTCTGGATTAGAAAATCCATGGCTTGCGAGAGTCTAGATAACAGAAATACTGAAAGAAATCTCTTTTGAGCAAAAGGGGCATTCGAGCCTGAATCTAATGGAGCGCGTAACGATTCTTCGGGCGGGAGAAATGCGATGCCGGGGCTCTCGGCCAGGCTATGCATTAACATATTAACAATGCTCCATTATGCCCCAAGTATATAGTATATATACCTAGTCCTCCGCGTGGGCGCATTATGGACCACTCTCAAGACTGCGAAACATATATTTGAAGCTTCAAAATATATATTCTGAATTCATTAAGAAAACATTTTAGCGAATTTGATTTTTATTAGAAAAAGATTTAGAAATAATTTTCTTTCGCATATATTTGAAAGTTTTTTAACACAATTGCAATAAATAATTTAGTTTGTTAAATTTAATATACCTATTAAATATATCTATATAGAAAATTCATTATAATCTATTAGAGCGAACAGATTTTCCTTGACATTGAATGAAGAACAAAGCCTCCTTGTCGATTCATTACCTTGACGCTTAATACGTCGAAGAGAGAATATTTTCTCCTCTAATTCATAATTATTTATGGTTATAAGATTATGAAAGGCTTTTTATTGAAACAGAACTAATAACTTAATTTTTTTTTTTTTACAATAAGAGAATTTTTCGTACAATTTAATAAATTTTCAAGAACCATACAGCTAAAATTGAATTTTTGAATCTAAGAACTCTCGAATGTTCGTTAAAAATGTAACAAACGAAAGTAAAGACGGATGAATTTTAAGCTAGGCTGACAAAAAAGTTTTTCCCACACGTGTACGCTCGTTAGAGTATATACACAATCCATCCATGGCACACGCTCATGTGTGCACGTGCACATCGGGCGCGGGGCATTAGCATAAAAATGGTTTAAAAATCCGTCGAGCGTGCTACCAACATTGGTTGGTTCTCAGGGAAGACTGAACCCACCATTGGCTGGTTGCGTACCTCGAAAGAGAGGGAGGATCGAAGAGAGCGGGCTCCAGAGAGAAGCTGCGAGAGCTAAAACGAGCGAAGGAGAGACTGAGAGAAACGTTCGGAGATGAAATGGGATTGTAAGAGAAATAAAGAGAGAGGTTAACGGAGAACAAGGATCGGTTCTGCGAGGGTGTATCCGAAGAAGAGAGAAAGAGACAGATAAAAGAGAAAGAGAGAGAGAGAGAGAGAGAGAGAGAGAGAGAGAGAGAGAGAGAGAGAGAGAGAG